TGCCGTACCATATTTTTCAAGACGACGTGTGGAAATAGTACATTACGATAGAAGTGCGGGAAAGTAGATTCTTGTCTCGTGTGGCGTTTACGTCCGAGCGAAGCGAGATGAGAAACTCTTTCCCGAACATGTGCCGTAATGTATTTTTTGGTACGACACGTGAAAAGTGCGATTTTCAATGCACATTTTCTGCCGAGCGTGCGGGAAAGACGCACTTTGCGCACGGAGTATCGAAATGGTTTTTTAACGAAATTCATTACAGCACTCGCCTTTGACTAGTGCCATAACCTTCTTGTTTCGTTAAAAAAGCCATTGCACACCTGTTAAGAAATATATTTTGCCACATGTTCAGGAAAGAGATGTTTACTCGAGAAATATTCTTGCTAAAAACGAGAAATTTTCTTGCGTTTGTTTCATATACTGAGAATATAGAAAAGTATGCAATAGAAATGAGAATTTTATTTCGTAGCTTGATAGAATTTAAGTTTATGTTGAAAGCAAACAATGTGTTTCAACACATCTGAACGTAAAAAAATTCCACATAGATCATTTCAATATCAAACATTCTATGTCGGAATTTGAATGAAGTCTCAGTATTGTGCGTCATCCTTGATACATCTAACGAAACAATTGTACGTTATTTTGCGTCTGCTTTTACAACGCCAAACATCTCGTTCCTTTTATTTGACATCCAATTACAATACTCACATTTAATTTTAAGTCCCTTAATATTCTTTTTACCGCAGATTAAATCGAACTTAATCAAGAAGGGGTAAAAAGATCTCCCACCCGTATACATACGGAATTTAAAGCCCATCTTCATGCAGAACGTTTTCTCTCCGTAAGCGAGAAAGAGAGAGTCTTGAAAGAAACCTCGAGAGAAATTAAATTTTTAATTGCAAAAGCTTAAAGAAGAGAGAGAGAGAGAGAGAGAGAGAGAAAGGCGTCTTTGAAACGGCCATCATCAGTACATATACTTGGCTGGGCAAAAATAAACAGAATCGCGCGTCGGTAAATGGGTCACAACCCTCTTCCACCGTGAAAAAAACTGAGAAGCGTCTCGAGTCGTCTACAAGTCGATAAAGCAGAACATATAAAGAGTGAGAGAGGTTTGCGTGCGCGTAACTAGAGAGAAAAAGAAGGCCATATCGGAATTTCATTTCTCGGGGATAGATCCCTTTGAGTACTTTTAATAAGGAATTCTGCTGCCGACGATCGTGAGAGAGAGGGAGAGAGAAAGAGAGAGAAAGAAACGTAACGTCGTTAATAATACTTTATGAGAGAAGTCGAGAAAGAAAGCGAAAAAGTAGTGATTAAATGTCGAATTGATGCATTTAACTCGTGGAAAAGTTTGTTTTCTGCTGAGGAGGATATTACTTGTTATTGAGAGCGTAAACCTCCAAGCCTGTAAGAGCCTGTACGTACAATGTACAAAAAATGCGTTGATGTTATATTACGAAGCTTAGATAAATGCTTTTTTTCTAATTTTCAATTAACCATTGTGCAAATCAGCTGCATTTTATTTACTGAAAGTTAGCGTCTGCGCGAACTTTTTTATCTACACTTTTTCTATTAACAAAAGATGAAAGTTTTAACTCAACTGGATATTTAATACAAAATTTAACTTTTACACTTTATCCAACATAAAAAGTCCTCAAATACAGAATTTAACGACCAACTAGAGAATACAGAGTTAACAAGTAGTGGATATTACATTTTTAAATATTAAAATGCCTCGCTAATATAGTCTTTATTGGTCGTCAAAAAAAAAAAATAAATAAATAAATAAATAAAATTGACAATGATAAAAAATTTTGAAAGTTATCCAAGCAACGCATCGAAATTTCGATTTTAAATAAACGTTTACAATTTTTAACGTTTGATGTGAAAAAGATAATAAATTTCGAAATAACGCTACAAAGCGACTTTTGTCGATTTATATATTTCCCTACTTTATCACCCAAAAATAGTAAATTACGTTCCTAGAATGGGAAAGAATTGATAATTCCACAGCACGTGAGAATTGACAACTGAGGCGAAGCCGAGCTATGGGCTTATCAATTTCCCGGCAGTGGTGCGTATACTATTTCTGCGTCCCGCGAGGCCGAAATGATGATGTTACCGACCAAGCCGCGGTCGGAAAATGCTACTTTCAGGCCTCTGGACAAAAAAAAATGTTCCTAATAACTATCCGCGCCCGCCTCTCTGGAAAATTCTTGAAGCTACAAGTTTCGCCTTGCCGTTACCATCCTCTCCCATTGCTCGTGTATACACAGCTCTCATAGACAACCAAAGCGCCTCGAACTCTGCAGCTCTCAACTTTTGTAAACAATACAGAATACGATCGTTCTCGATGAGATAAGCTTATATAGCCTGTCGATAGCTCACGTGGCTCTTTGTTTCGCGATATACAATGATTGATTCCTCGCTCGCGTGTGTGTATAGCTGCACACGGCATTTCGTAGTTAGTGATCGTTAATGAGCTAACGTTCAAAACAAAAACAAGCATCTTTGGAAAATTGCATATCGTGACCGCGCGTACACTCGCACTTTCAGCATCGGTGATAGCATTCGAAGCATGATGACGATTTGCCACTGATTTTCCTTCTCGTTATTATTAGAAAGCGACAGTATTTGTGACTACGGATTTTCAATATAACTATACTAAGATCCGCGAAAAAATTGTTTCCTCGTTTATTAAATTCTCATTCTGTTTGTTGAAAAATGAATCAAAGACTGACGACGGATGAGGGGGTGTACTAATCATGAATTCTAAAAGTCAACGTGCGCTGCTTCTCTTTCTCTCTGAAAAAGTCATAGGACTTTGATTTTTGCCTAATTGAGTTATAATATTGCATGAAGTTCCGCGCGCGAACGCAAAGAGATAAACTGCTAAAAAAGTTACTCTGGAGGAAAAAAATATATATACACTTGGCTTTACGATAACGCCAAGCCCATCATTCTTTATAAAAGTGTTGCCTTGAATAAATATAAATAAATTGTTCGCTTTGGCTTTGAAGGTTGTGTACATAAAAAGTGAATTACATTGGAAATAATGTAAAAGCAGTCGACGTTTTCCAAGATGTAAACGAAAATGTCGAGGTTTTGAGATAATAACGACGAAACATAACAAAAGCAATAATTACTATAGATTTCTATGTTCGAGATAAGATTTTCGCGTAAGATATGCAAGATCATAATTTTAGGGATGTATTTTTAAGAGAAACAAAGCTGGAAGCAAAACTTATCTGAAAGGTCATGAAATAGGTATTTATTATAAGTATACGATATCGTTTGACGAGAGAGCAGATAGTTACACACGTGATTTCATTTCGTATCAGTCAAGAGTTGTTTGTTAAATCCCGCGCGAAAACGATAAAATACGTTCTCGTTCGGCCATTAGTATTCTTAACGGCGACTTAATTTTTACGGCGCCCTCACTTACCAGAAACATTGTTATACGCGTCGCAGCCTGAGTAATGAGCTCGTAATTTCTTTTTCCTCTTTAGCTACAAGCTATCATTTTAGTGATTCGCCTACAGCATTTTTTTTGCGCAAAGTCGGGCTATTGTTTATGGCGAGCATATGAGATAAGGTTTCCGATATAATGGAGACCTTCGTGAAAAAGTGTGTGACAGGGATGTGAAACGTCGTCGTCCTATGTACGTGGAATGTTGCCGTTGTGTATTACAGCATCGACTTTCTTTCATATATGCTTAACGAACGTTTTTATAAAATTCATCGTTGAACGTTCAGCCGAGTAGAATCATGTGTTATTTCTAATTAAAATGCACCACCAGGGTTTTACATTAAATGTAGTTGAAGTTTTCATTTGAATATACTTTGATATGGCGACGTTGGATGCAAAAAATTCATTTTTGCTGACCAAATAGATTAACCGCAGAAAATGAAAAGTATACAGAGAAACGCTTAAACATCAAGCCTAAAATAGTGTTTAAATTTTAACAGCAGCGGAGCAAAGTTCATGATCAAATTTTACCGAAACTTAAAAATTACTATTGAATGTCTTTTCCCCATTGTGCAAGTCACATTTCTACCACATAATTTATCCAGAACAAACGACGCGTACTCCATCTATCTATCTACTGTTCAGAACCCACCCACACATCTCTCTAATTCATCTAACAACAAAAGAATCGCGCGACCAACCCATAAAACAAAGTCGTGTTAAATATACTAAGTATGATTTGCACGAATGTTCATTTTAAATTATCGAGGCGATATATAGAGTTGCGGTCGACGCGCGCTTGGTGTGGTTGGGTTGCACCTGCGGCATTTTCAGCAATTTGCTCGATTACACACAAGAGCCACTTTTCGCGATGATTTTTCAAACTAAGCGCGCGAGCGCCACTCATTTTTTTCGCGGGCTTTTACATATTAAAAATACTTTCATATTTTTATAGCGTGCGACGCGTCTCTGTCTTTTTACTCTACGTTTAGAACGACTTAAAATACGGTGTGGAAAAAACAATATTGACAAAAATTTAACACAACAAGCCACGGTACAGCACTGTGTGAAGCATAAAGAAATCGGAAAAAAAACAATCTGATCGTTAAACCTTTAACGTGGTGAAATTAAAAACAGTAAAAAGAGGCATGAGCAGATACTTGAATGAAGTTTCTTCCATAACGCGCATACAACAATTTGCAATTGCCAACTGTTATCAAAAATAGATTTCGCGCAACCTCGCTTCGCGAAAACCTCATATTATGCTGCAACTGTGCATGGCATTCTAATACACTCAAATGTAAATATTTATGTCTGCAAACATTTCTGTGAACATACAATATCGAAACAAAGCCTTTCTCCCTGCAATGCGCACGTTTGGCTTTCTCTCACCCGCGCATTAACCTTCAAAAATATCATCTCTCGCTTTTTTTCGATTTCCACAAAGTAACTGAACTCGAGTCAATAAAAAAATCTTATAATGAAAAAGGGATTGTTTTAAAGAAAGAGATAAAGATATAGAGATATATACCTATGAGCATCATTTTAATCGCAGCGTTGAAATCCTTGGAAAAGCAAAACGATCACATATATATATATATATATATATATGACACCACTGCACCGCACGACCTTTTACCTTCCTCTTCAATGACAAAATTCACACTTCATCTTGCTCACGTGCACTGCACTCATTTACTATTTCGTACGAAAATTTTTTTCTAACAGAGGTAAAAAGTAGTTACGCACGTTACAACACTGCGAATCACGCTGGGCAACGGGCCACACGCACCCTCATCGATTTCTTTGAGAGAGAGAGAGAGCTGAGTAAGAGAGACTTTCTCCCCCTTTTCGCTAAGTATTGTGCGTGCGGACGTGCTCTCCCCTGTATACACGCAGCTTCTCTCTTTGTGTGCGTAGCGTGTGGTTTTGGTGGGGAGATCAAAAAGAACCGTTCTGGCAGTAAACTTCTCCTCCTCAAGGGCACGCGGAAAAGTCCTTTGCGTACATATATATATATATATAGCGTGGGAGAAAACAAGGTCGGGAAAAAAATATTCTTCTTTCACCCTGTTCCTAAAATGTAATCCTCCTACACAAAAATTTGTAGATACACGATCACACCACCCTCACTTTTTTCTTTTTTCAAAATTGGAAATGCTTTTTGCATGTAATTATCTGACATAAACACCAGCGTTGATTTTCTTGTACGATAAATAAACTTTGGTGAAAGATCGTCAGAGCCTCGTCTCGCTAAACAAATTGCAAATATCGTGCATGCGAAGCGTTCACTTTGGTGTCTCGCAGTCGACTGACTGGTAGTGCGACGCGCTCGCTCGTTCGAGCGCCAAGGTGAAAACGGCCGGCGCGCGCGAGTAGATAGACAGAGACGGAGAGAGAGAGAGAGAGAGAGAGAGAGAAAGAGAGCCACATGCGTTGCGTCGCCGCAAGGGAGGAATGCCCTATTGTATGTGTGCGGCAAGCTATTCGAGGGCTGCTCATGCCTGTCGTGTCAAGGGACTTCCTCCTTTGGGCTAAATTTTTTTCTTTTTTTCGGGGCTGCTTGCTGTTATCTGGCCTCTTCACAGTAATGGGTGTGTGTGCCACCGCATAGGGATGTGTGCGTGTGTTATTTTGACACTGTAATTCGCGATGTAGCGGTGAAGGATGTTATCTGTATCTTTTCAGTTTTGAGGGTGCTTTTTGCTCGACTTTTTGTGTGATCGTACGTTTTATGGTTTTAGATTGAGATTGTTTTGCGATTGTCCGCAGATGGATTGCAGACCGCGCCTATTCTTCCAAAATTATACATCGGAAGTAAATTTTATGTTTGCACTATGCTTCTAGCGCTGAATTAGTGATCAACCTTTATACATTTCGGATGACTGCCAACAGCTGAATTAAAAGTTGCATTTTTCGTTAAAACGCACGACAATAAATGTTTATCCCGAGGTGATATTGCGTTGCACGCAATTACAAGTCGTTGAATTCGCATTTAATACGTTGACGAGCTTGTATGTATCCAGATGAAAGTCGCGTCAGGCACGACACGATTAATAGGAATTCAAAGCGCGAAATGGCATGGAAAAAAAGATACAATCCAACAGCCCACCTCACGAGAACGTGCGGTGACAATTATAATATTTCACCTTAACGCATAAGCTCGGGGCGCGAACGTGCAGAGGAAAAAAGAGGAGAAGGCAGTGGCGTGGATATTTCAACTTGGCCGCGACGACGGCTACCGGCGCTACTCCGGCACGCATAAATCAACGGAATAATCGGCAAGCCACGAGCCGAAAAAAGTTTTCTCGCCGGGATATGATCGATCGTCACTCCGCGCCAATTCTCGCCTCTGTGTCTTTTTCTCCTTTACGTAACGCCGCAATGTGCTCTCGGGCGCGCGAGCGCGGGCCACGCGCAATTACGTATACGCGTGCGCCTGCGTACGGACACGCGACCTTGCAATGTGCGCTCGCTGGCCTTTCGCTTCGCGCGTTTCTCTATGCGTTTCATTCAGCTTTTTCGCGCGAGCAGATCTTGCGCGATCAACTAGGACGGACGAGCGAAAACGCGCAATCTGTTGACTCACTTGGCCGATGACGAGATGGCTTTCGTGACTAAGTTTTTCCTTTTTCTGAACGGCAGCGTCATACCTCGCGTATCCCGTGAGCCTGAGCGGCACTGAATTCCGCTTTTGCATTTGCCGCGTGCAACGCACAAAAACCTTAATTAAGGATAAACTTGTGACTATACCAAATGGTAGATATAATTTATCAACTTTGGCTACGAATCTGCAGCTTGATTTCATTTAATGAACTTATACTGACGACACCACGACACTTACAATTAGTACACCGTTAGTCGTTAGCGTTTAACAATGCGCTTTATCTATAATTATGTGATTTCTTAACGACTTGTTGTTGTGCTGTAGAGCGAACACATATTTGTAAATAGAAAGTGGAAATGTAATCTTGTAAAGCGCGGCAACATATGTCTAATTCATCGCGTGGACAGCGTTACCATTTGGGGTGATTATTTACGTATGAGCTTATCGGAAACACCAAAAAAAAGAAAATAATCGAAAAAGAAGAAGTAGGAAAAAGAGGGAAACTCATGATCGGTGAAACGCAAGCAGATCGCGGGATCAGCCGCAATGAATCACATTTTACGCCCGCTCGCCGAGAGCGCCAATCGGGCGGCATTGTTAATGCAACGCCACGCCCGCGAGTTTGCAAGATGCGTTCGTTCGTGCTGTTCGCCCGTGCCGCGGGGAGTTAATTACCGCGCGATCGGCGGGTGCTCTTGGCGAAAGAGTCGATTTCGGGGCGGCTCTCTCTCTCTCTCTCTCTCTCTCTCTCTCTCTCTCTTCGCGGAATAATTACAAAGCAAACGCCGCCAAAAGAGAAGGGATGACACAGAGAGCTTTTTTAATATTTTGACGAGGGGCGAGGGGTGGAGCGAGACAGACCTGTCCATTCTTTGCGTTATACGAAAGGCAAGGCTTTGGTTGTCTCATCCCTCTCGCGTTATCAGCGCTCCGTTCGACCCCCTTTTGTTTTACGGAACAAAAAGAAAAGAAAGAATTAGGTCAACTCTTTCTTTCTTGTTTATTACGCACTTTCTCGCCGAACTTATGTGAGAAGTTCATGCTGCACGTGTACTGCCGAAGAAAATTCTATTTGATAACGGCTGTTTATTTTTAATCAATGGTAGATATTAGCATGCTTTTTTTCAGAGTTTGCGTAAAATAAACGATATATATTATCATTAATGCATAATTATTTTAGTTTCGGTGTATTATCTCCATTAAATTTGGATGGAATTATACACGTAGCCTAGCGTTACTATCTTCAAGAGAGATCAAAGGATCATGTATATACCAATGATAAATAGGGATTAATTCAACACGAATATAGAGTGTTTACCCAGCATTATAGGTATTTGAATGTACTACAATGAAAGCGTTGTGATCGATTTTACATCGGAAATTGAAAATGAATCGCCCAATTTGGAGATCAACTTACAAATATCAACATTTCATTCTTCATATTGTTTGGCTACTTTACAGTCAATCATGGCTAATAATGCTCCATTATTTTTGGCTTTTGTACATTCCAAGTGTTATATGTATTCGCAGTGAATACACTACGTACATAGGCTTCATTGAATATATTCATCCTTACAATATGTTACTAAAATAAATTTTTTTTGTTACGTAAAAATCTTTATATTACATGAAAATTAAATTTCTTTGAAATATATGTGTAAATGAGGAAATATGAAAGTCATTTATAGATTTTCGTTTGCATTTTTTCAGTCTTGATTATTGATGCAAATATTAATAATTAATGTCTGTACGGACTGGTAGTTTCGGTAATTCATGTGAATAATTTTCGAAATAATTATTCAAACCACATATCATGAAATATATATAAGCTTTCAAATTTGTCATAATATTATCTTGCAAGAAAAATGATTTTGAAATAAAGAATTTCCATTCTTAAAATGTGATACTACACAAACAACTCAAGAGATAACTAAAACTGAGGAAACAACAAATATTTCCGAAGAAAGAAAGTTCATTTAAAAATTAAATTTTCAAAAATGTATGTATAGAAATTACATTAAAAAGTAATATTGACACAATTGAAGAATATCGCCATTAAGAAAAATTTAATCTTGAAACAATAGTAGTTTTTACTGATTTCAAGAAACACGTTTAATGAAAATGAGAATTTTCTTGAAACATAATAAAATGATAATCGTTGATTTCATAAATTTAAAACACTGACATTCCAGAACGCAAACTCGAATAACCAATTGTAAAAGAAATGTCGGCGTTGATCTCTCGACGCATACGTATACGTTTGACCTCCAAGTACATACACAGAGTGTATCTCATGCATATCTCTGCTGAATTGATTAGTTTCTAAATAGCATCTCTTGTCTGGGACGACGTAGCCGTGAATAAATCATGCATACCACGCACGCGCGAAACGATCCAAGAGCTAGGCTCCCAAAAAGCGCACCACAAAACAATGCATCGCGAAAAGCTGATGAATCCAGGTATCAATGTACATTTACTGCCAAACATTTCTACGGGCAGAAATCTAGTTCGGCAGTCTGCTAACGTTAATTGGCGGATTCATCAACTGTCAACGATGCATTGCTCTGACGTGCAGTTTTTGAGGCCAGCTCTTGGATTATCAGAATGCTGCACGCAGCCGCCTTGCGAAATGGCCCGAACAGTTTCTTTATATACGCGTACACGGCTCTGTCACTTCGTTTTAACGCGGCATTTGCACGTGCCAATTTATACGCGCGCGTGCGCGTATAGATACGGTTGATTATCCATTGCTCGCGGTCCAGAGCCGCAGCATCCTTTTGTGGCAATGAGGTCGCGTCGGAAAAAGAAGTATGATCGGTGCAAATAATATTCCTCGTTAAAGGCTGCTAATCTCGTTACGTGCCCAATGTAAACCAATGAAATTCGATTTGGGCGTCACGGCTGAGTGATACAGAATCAGATTAGTTATTAATTTTCAAACGCTAATCATACGCAGATGTACGTATAACTTTGCTAAAAGGGAATTAATGCCAGTCAATTAAATAACAGCAGTCGTCGCTCTCGCCGAACTTGGACTTGTCGCACTACTGCACGAGTTTCGTGTGAGATCTAATTAGCGCGTACCGAACAGTTCTCGCGAGATGTGCATCGTCGATCGAAATTGCCGGGATGCGCGCGCGCGCAAACCTCGCGAGAGATGTACTTAGGTCCATGTGTAACATTGACTGTCTCGACACCTTCCTATTTTAGCACGCGCAATCTGAGTCTCGAATTCGCTGGATTGTTGGACGTTGTGACTGCTGCCCCCGATGTGATATTATTTATGCCGTGTAAATTTTGCATTGTTGTTGAGATATTTGTGTTTTAAGGGATCAGCCAATGTTAACAATTAAAAATAAAAAATTTTCTCCGTTTGCTTGTAAAATCGTGCTAGTGAAGATATCGTTATGAAACTTTTTTTTTCAATTTCAAAAATCTAAAAAATACACGCCACGGAAACTCACTTTTAACATGACTTTATTTATTGAAAAGATTTAGCACCGCGCATGAATTTGGGCGTCAAAGTCACCGAAAATCTTTTATAGGGGGCTGATTTGGTTCGCTTCAATATGTACTTTGAGATGAGTCGAACTTTTTTTCAATAAAATCATTTATTTCATGTTTGAATAATGGTTTTTTAATAAATTATATGTGTTTTTTTCAATAAAATTCGAAATAATCTATC